TATGGAATAATGATACATGGTAACGGCATTATTAACTTCAAAAGTGTATATTTTCCTTGAAAGTTTTAAATTCCGTGATTGTGAATATTTCTATATAGATAATTTATGAATTTAATTTTGAAATTTACCATTTATATTAGATATTAAACGAATTATTATTTATATTTTATTTCCGTAGATTCAATGCGATGACCACTTGTGATTTTAATTCTCTATCATTGTAAAATATGTGATATACTCATTTACATAGTCGTGCGTAGAGTTCCTGATCAGATGTAGCACATATTTTTAATTTGTTGATTATTGTCTGTTGTTAACTTTGTTTTAAGAAAATTTTCAATGTTTACAATAGTAGATTGTATATTGTCAACACCAAATTTATTTTATTTAATAATAAGTATTTACACTTAAAATTCAGTTAAGTAAATAAACTAATGAAAAATTTGACTATACTAAGTTGTTTTAAAAACTCTAAAAAAATTATTATCAAATTATAATATAAATATATCATACTTAAGTATACGTAGAATATGAATAAAGTTAGATTTATATATTGCAGGTTTTGAGCTTAATATACAATAACGTCCCTTGCCTTTATGTATTTCAAGGGTACACACTACACATAAATTTTACAGTTCCAATTTATGAATGGTTAATATATTTAATAGAGAGCCATTAACAACCTACTCTAGATATGTTTGACTTATAACTAATATTATTTATATTTATTATTAATTTTAATAGTAGTTTTCAAATAAATTCCAATTATATACAATATGTTTCAAAAGTTTGAATTGATTTAAATAATATGGTAGATTGTACGTATATATTGTAAAACACTATAGGTACCACTCTTTAAGTGTAGATATATATATATATACTTTGCGCGTACCTATATCTTTAAATGTCAGTTTATGGATGGTTTAAGGCAAGTCATGGTTTAAAGTGTATATTATACTTAATAATTATTTCGCGTACCTTCAGCCTTGTAATCACAAGTTATAAACCATAAAATCATAGTAATTAATAGTAGTTCTAGTTTACCAACTGTATTATTTATACAACAGGGTTGGTAGGATCAAATCTCTCTGATAAATATAGTCATGGTCCATGGAATAATATTACAATATACTTTTACAACATCTTCGCCTAAATCTGTTGTCGTGAATTTACTTGGGTTAACGTTAGGATCGCTCGTTTATCGTCCATTCGGCCGTAGTAAATCATTCCGTAATTGTACAATTTCTTGTATATTGAAGCCTCCTGTTAAACAGTGATGCACGCAAATATCGTATTCAATTATGTTTGATATTAATTTGTTATTAGTTTCTCCCGATAAAGCTGGTAATCATTTTATAGCTTAAAAGCTTGCCGATACTGTGTCATATGTCACAGTTCACAGACGATGTGTTTTAATTTCTCCATCTTTAGCCGTTAGGCCGCCACAATATTCAATGATAATTAGACCGAAAGACTTATCGGCCAAAATTTGACGGTCCATTTTCGTAATATCACCCGAAAATTTATATTTATACGTGCTAAAACGTGCTAAAATTTTAATTAACTCGTTTTGTATGACCGAATCCTTCATCAAGTGATATGCACGTAGCATGTATCCGGGTTTGCTTGAAGTATCAAATACTACGCGCCATTTTATTGTACGGCCATCTTCATTTATTACATATAGGACGGTATCAGTATTATATCATTCTCGACTATTTCTCCCATAAGCCCGCAAGTTCATCATATACCTTCATGAAATCTCTATATTGATTATAATATATGTTCGGAAATGTTGTAAGTCGCTGTTCTAATAACAAAAATCGGCGCATAGGGATCTCGTATGATTTGCAGCCCAGCAGGCTTTTTTCATTTCACCAATTTTCTTTTTCTATGTACATTCTTCTGTTTTACGAGACATTTCAATCACCTTTGATAAATCGATATCGTTTTCCGTGCATGTAAACATAGAGCTGCTGTTCAATGCAAGATCGATTCCGCTGATTTTATATCGATTCCGCTGGCTATTGATTCCGTCAGCTACTGTTTATAATATCTACATATTGATTCCGCCGACTATTGTTTAAAATATTTGCATATTGATTCCGTCGGATATTAATTCCGCTGGCTTCTGTTTATCCCTCCCTTGTAAATGTATTATAATAGTTCGAAAATTTTCGAAAAGTTACTACATCCAGCCAATGTATGTCCACATTGTACGCATTAAGATTAAATATTAATATTAATAGTTATTGTTTTTTTTTTTTCATAAAAATTACTTTAAATAGAAATTTAATAATATTTATTGTTGATTTATTTTGTCATAACTATAAAATTATTTGTATAATTAAATACTATAAATTTGTTATTTATTTATTCATAGGAGGCGCAATTTATTTATTTTATTTTTAGGGTGACGTAAACTAAAAAGTTTGGAAACCGTTGCTATATATTTTAAATACATATACAATTGGGGAAGGGTATAAACAGTGTCTAGTAGAATTTATGTGTATATATTATAAACAGTAACCGGCGAAATTAATAGCCGATGGAATCGATACAAACCTTTTTCCTAAACAGGTAGTTTCAGCGAAATCAATAATTCCCCGTTCCAAACAGGCGTTAAGTACCACGAAAGTATCTAAAAAATAATCAAAGGACCAATTAGTTTTCAAAACTTAGTTTTATATTTCAAATGCTAATTTACAAGAACTAAAAATTAATTAGCTAATATTTTCAATTAATTTGCAAAATATTAACATATTTTTTGAATTGATACTAAAAAATGTATGAGAGACAATTTCATACTTCATTAATACAACTGGTATTGTGTATTTAGTATTTTTAATTTCGTATAGGGAAATTGAATTGGAATACTATACGTATCGTATTATGTTTAATGATACACCATTCAGTATTCTAAATTTGCTACTAGATGCTCTTGATTAACAATATTATTCCATTTTTAAGGATATTATTTCAAGTACTTTCAAGTTCGACTGTAGTTTTACATAACGTGTTTTTTTTATACAGACATTAATTGAACTGAGATTTTTTTAACATTAAATTTAAAATAAAAAATATATAAGCTAAATAAAATATTTTGAAAATTAATAATTTATTTTAAATAGATTTTGATAAAAATCTAAAAAAGTACTTGAACTCTTTTATTTAATTATTTTACAAGACTGGTTTAAATGACATTAGTGTAATAACGATCGAAGTCTGTAAACAAAAAATTAATTTGGAAAATATTAATTTACAAGTTGTTTAGTTGATGATAAAAATTATTATACAAACTTATTAAATTTGATTGGTATAAATAAACACATTTCAGTTTTTATTATAAATTTATCCTCTCACATAAATTACAAATAATCACAATATTATATTTTAGTCTGAAATAGTCAAGTAAAAATTACTATTTATATTTAATCTATGATATGACTAAATAGTAAATAGGCTAAATAATCTAAAAATAAGTCGTAAGTTTATAGTCAAATCAGGCATTTTACTAAATACATAGGCAGATAGACATAGAATTCAACGATGTTATGTAATTTTAGTAATTTTACAAATTCCTTAGTAAAATCCCTAATTTACTTAAATGGTGCCACATTACACTAATACAAAATACCACTAATAGGTTCTAGAAATCCAGATTCGAAATCGACTTAGTTAGCTTTTCTATCATAATATGTTATCTGTTAATTTGATGAAATCTTATTATGAATTCTTAAAACCAATGAGTATGAAAAAAATTAATAGTAAAATTCGAAAATATTGCTCATTGGAATACAATAATTTTAAAACGAAAAAAAAAGTATTTAGTACCTATCATTTAGTTATATGAATAAATAGCATTTAAAATACCAAAAAAAAAAAATTTGAATACTTAACAAAATTAGTCCTTGACATATTTAGTGATCTTTTAGGGCTTAAATTCATGGTTATTTTGACAACTTTCAAAACATGTTTAATTATTAATTTACTTAATAAAATAACATTTAACAAAGAAGCAGAATATTATCTAGAATTAAAACAAAATGAATTAAGTTTTTTATCCAACTAATCGATTGTATTTTTAATAATGTCAATAATGTTTTATTCAACATCCATATTATTCAATATATTTTTTTTCTGCATTCATGAACAATAAAAATGTCTCTAATTTATTATTATATATGCTCACTACCAGTCGTGATGCATTGGGAAAAATATCCTGCCGATATTAGTTACCATTGAAAACGTTTATGTTTGTCATAGTTTGAATTTGAATCTCCGTTAATAATTATAACATATCGCTATAAATAATAAATATATGTGTGTGTTGTGTGTTTGTAGACAAGTATAATATGAAGTTAGTTTTTATACAATGAAAGCTTCCTGGGCTGTTTAATATTCTTCTAGTCAACCTTTTTTCAATTATATATAAAATATTAGAATTAAACAACATTTCAGAAATATAAAATTAATTTAAAGAATGCGAAATCGTATCGTATTATACCACTTCCCAAATCTATTATAGTCTTTGTAATTGAATTACCCAAATTATGAGTATTACTTATTGTAAGAAGTTCTTTGTCCAAAAACGTCTTATTTATTTTTATTATTATTTTTTTTTTAATCAAAAATATTTTATTCAAAAATCTTGACAGGAAAATAATTATTTGCCATAGTACGTTTAAATAAATTTTACCTGTAAATAATAAGACTTTAAATCTTAGACAAAAATGTTGGTACGGTATTAATTTTATTGTAATACATTAGAATATTATAAATAATACTTATATTTAAATTATAATTATTGTATTACAGAATTTATATTTATTTAACATTTGACAATGTTGTTTTCACACATAAAAACAGGTTTTGGTATAAAATAAAAATATATAATGTGTAAAATAATAATAATATAATATAAATAATAATAATATTCAATTTCTTAAATAATCTTTTATTACAATATATCCTACATTGTGTAAAGTGAAAACCAATGTCAAGTTTTTCCAGAAATAGTCAAGGTTTTCGTAATCATTATATTTTTTTGTCAACACGATTCAGTAATTTTGTGTAATTTGAGTAACAAACAAAAATCAAAGAACTATACATTTCTTCTAAAATTAATAATTTATACTCTATAGTCTATACTATGATACCCCAGTCTTCTTTAATCATATCAGCGCCCTTTTCGCCGATCATAATCGTCGGAGCATTTATATGCGCTGCTGGTACTTCCGGCATTATCGACGCGTCGATGACTCTTAGACCGCTTATACCGTGCACGCGCAATCTCGGATCTACCACGGCCGTGGGGTCACCCACCGGTCCCATTTTGCATGTGCCCGACAAGTGATAGATTGTAAAACTTATTTGTCTCGCCGAGCATTTCCAGTACGCGTCCGAATCGAATTTGTGTTGGACGCAACCGGGCAACGGGGTGTCGAATAATTTGGCGTCGAGCTTCTTCATCGCGTGGGTCTTCAACATCTGTTGGAAAATCCGCACTCCGGCTACGGCCACGTCCAAGTCCCTCTCGTCCGCAAAGTAATTGGGATCGATCAGTGGATAGTGGAACGGATTAGCGTTTTCCAACCATAGATGACCTTTACTCTTTGGTCGCATAATCATTGGGAATACCGTAAAACCGTCCATTTTTTGAGTAGGCTTATATACTTTTTCATAAATGTCCGTTTTTAAGCCAAACAACTTATGCGTTAAGTTATCACCCGAATATAGACCTGATACTAAAAGTAGTTCCAAATTTGGGTGTCCATTTTTAATTCCTGGTTGGTCTAAATCGAAAAATGCCAATGCTTCTGCACCACCTGGTATTGTTAATGGGCCGTTATGATTTATGATAAAATTGTATAAATTAAGCGGATCTCTCAATAATCTTTGTGTTTTTAATGAAATAGTATCATTTATCAAGACACTTAAACTTCCCAGTGCCACGTGATCCATTAAATTTTCACCAACTGGCAAGTCTTTTATCAACGGAATATTTATACTTTTCAAATGTTCTTTCGGTCCGATCCCCGACAACATGAGTAACTGTGGCGAGTTTATAGCCCCACCAGAAACAATTACTTCTTTGCGTACAAACACTCTATATTTTTTACCATTTGATACAAATTCTACTCCTTTTGCCGTTTTTGTGCCTTTTTCTATAATTATTCGTGTTACAGTGCTAAATTTTTTCACGTGCAAGTTCAATCTTTTTTTTGTTGGAAGCAAAAAGGCTGTATTTGTACTACAACGACGACCATCTTTCATGGTAACCTGAAATAATTATAAGTATGAAAATATATTTTAGCATTGCTCAATACTTAATTAATAAATTTAGTGCTTATAAAATCATAATAATCTTTCAGCTATAAAAAATAAATGTTAATCATTATTACTTATTACTTATTAGTATAGGTAGTCATATTTTTATAAAATTATAAACATAAATACAAAATAACTAACACTTTCATATTTTTTAGTGTCTGATAGTAATCTAATCTAACCTTAATAGTGTTTTAAATTGTTTTGGAAATATTGATTAAATCAGTGTAACTTATATAAGTGTTTAAGTTTATACTATATACTACAATATATTCTTAAATTAAGTTTTACAATAATTTGATAATGTTAAGTTAGATTAAGTTTAATAATCTTAATAAATATTATGTTATAATTAAAGATTTTTTTTACAAGTAATTTACAATCTGTTTCGTTAAATAAAATTTCAAATATATGCTAAAAGTAACAAATGTCAATTATTATTAATATATTTTTGAAATAAAGAATCACTCATTAATATCATCTCCTAATAATTTGCTTAAAAATTAATATTTTATTTTTCACTACACATCGCAACAGCATTTATGATTTAAACGGTGTTGAAAAATACCTAGTATGGTAGCGAAGGCCAAATTTTTGATTAGAGGATCAAATGAGTACCTAGGTGGTTGTGATTTAGTTTTTTAATTTTTTGTTTTTAGTTCTTAATCTGAAAAATTATATATTTAAATATTTATTTTGTTTATTTTAAATACATTTTTTAATAAATGTATTTTAGTATTTATAAAAAAAACTTTACTCGAATAATTAATTATTTTAAAATATTTAATATTCCTATTTTTTATCGAATTATACAGACTTCCTGAAAATTGCCTTAATCGTTCTCAAAAAAGTAATGTTGAAATCTATTGGATGGTTAAATCGAAAATTAATAACCAATTAAAATTTAAAAAAACATTAATATTAGGTTAGGTTGTTTCACATATAGTGGATGACCTCCTCACTCGTACCATTGTTGAATTTTATATTGCTAATTTTCTTATTATGTTTCGAAGTATAGATTGTAAATGTTTTTTATAAATATTAAAAAAAAAAAAAAAATTGAATCAGTTTATTTATAAATATGTATAAATTAATATGAATACGTAAAATTATTCTAAATCACCGGTTTTTAATTATTGATACCCACATATATAATTACGACTCCATACTAAATATAATCTAGATTAGAACCTGGTATTTAATACGAAAAATAATTAAACAAAATGTATGCTCCAGCGCGTCTAGATAATAAATTTCCATTTTAAAATTTTACTTTTAAGGGTTATAATTTATAAATATTTGATAACTTCAGATTACTTGCAAATAATTAATCCCGACTTGTTTTTCACCATTTACATCGATGACAGGCAATCCTATCTGTGATCCAGCGTCTACAAAAGCTTTTGCTATAGGCGTCTTGTATGGTACGTCAGTCACCGACAACAACCCGTCCTGTCCATGATAATCTAGGTCAGCACCAGACACGCTTGCATTTTCCGATCTAATGAAATATTTTAGAACTTCGTCATAGCTCCACCCTTTAATATTGAAAAATGGCCAAAAAGTGTATTCGGTATAAGTATAGATACGAATAAATATATATATATACATATAAGGATTATTTCCTTTAAAATGTATTACAAAATTGTTCTGTCCAGTGACCTCGAATTAAAATAGAGGTTTTGGGAAGAACTTGTTGAAATGCATATTTTTCGACGAATTTTAGTGCTTTCGTTGTATTTTTATACAACATGGATTTTTAAATAGTATTACGTATTTTCATCACTAAAATAGAAATACCTAATTTTTTAAAGTCATTTAGCCTTTTAAGTTTTAACTATAGCTATAAAATCAACATTTACTGAATCATAATCGAATTAAAATTGTAATTTAACCTCATTTAAATTCGAAATCACGTGATAAAAATAATTCATGTTTCCTTTAAAAAGAAACATATTTTAAATGAATGAACTTTGTCTAATACTTTTATACCTATGTTGCCCATTTCTGCCCAATGGTCATAATCTATTCTATTACCACGTGTATATATCATATAATTCAATACACTACTACCACCCATCACTTTTCCTCTTGGAATTTTACACCGACAGTCTTCAAAACCTATCAAAATATAATGTATAACAAGTAAAAACGGTTATTCATAAAGTCATGATTGAAATGCCTAAATGCATTCTACACATACTTAAGCAAGAATTATTCATAGGAACTGTTGTGTACTTCCAATTTATTGACCTTGACTGTAATTTTCCAGCTGCTGCTGGAATATCCATAAATGGTTCTTCGTCTTGACCAGCTTCAATCAATAATATTTTCCAATCATATATCTAATAAAACCCAATATTAATAAATTATAGTTAATAATTTTATAAGAATGTCATAAAAAACTTTTGTAGAAATCTATATATTATAATGTAATGTTTTAATCATGCACGCAATTATCACAGTTCAATAAATAAAATTTTCCATAGTTAATTTTATTTAACCAACTTTATTTAAAAATAGTTAGTTTTTATCCATATCTTAACACACTATTTTATAGAGAACAATATTTTAAAAGAAACTTCATCGGGGTTTTATTCTTAGTACCTATGTAACTATAGCTTGTTACAAAAGACACAAAAATACTTTTTTGTTAAATTTTTTTAAATATCTATAAAATTTTTAGAAATTAATATTTTAAAAAACAGATTAATTTATGTTCTAAATAATAATATCTATAAATTTTATAGTAAGTTTTAGATTTTGAACAATTGAATGTATTGATTTTACAATAATTATACGTATTTTAATGAGTATACACAATAAATACACGATAATATTAATGTAAACAATTGGTGAAAATTTCAACATTTATATAGTTATTTGATTTTTAATTACAAAAAAATATAAAAATATTGTTCAATAAAGAATCGCTATTATTTTACGAGAAATATTTGTCGTCAAATATTTAACATCAGATGTGGAATTACATTCAACTTTATTTTTTATTCCAATAATAAAAACTTATGACGAACCTTATATTACATTTTTAAATTAAGGTATAAATGTTTAAAATGTATACATTTTTGACTATAAAATAATTTGCAATTTTTCGCGTTTTTGAAAAATATTGTTAATATTATTGTAACAATATATTTTTGTTGTTTTATATATATATATATATATGTAAAAATATATGAAGTATTTTGTATTAAATTTTCAAGATTTTTCCAGTCCTTCACTCAAAATCTAAAATATTATTAAAAACTTTTTTGCATTTATCTAATTTGAGATAGTTTCTGCAACCAAAATATTTTTTGTCTATATATTTAAGAATAAGTTATATAGAAACCAGTTGCAATAGTTTATGAAACTCCTATACTTTTTTTTTTGTTTTAAAATTGATATTGATTTTTGGTATATTAATACAGATAGTACAGTCTTATTTAATTTAATTTCAATTGAAGAAAACAAAATAGGTATGTAACTAATTTACAAATATAATTTATAAATTATATTACAAATTTATATCTAATCCATAACAAAGTCCTTACATTAAGAAGAGTTTTTTATTAAGATTATTTTTATTAATGCAATAATAATTTTAATTATCAATTTTATTTATTATTTTTTTCATACTATAAACTCTTAAAAAATGAATTCATCGAACGATAGACAATAATAAGTTGAATCGATCTATTCGTTGGAACATATAAATTTTCATAACTTTATAACATTTATAATATTTTTTAAATTACTTCAGATAATCTATTAGCGACAACTGATCCAGCACTTCCTGCACCGATCACTATAAAATCGTATTTTATTAAAATTGTCATGTAATCCTCTTGTTCCACTGTAGTCTCTCGTTTAATCGCATGATACCACTGTGTAGGCTCCAAAACTGTTGATTCAGATTTGTGTAAAAAACACTTAACAAAACAAAAAAATAAATAAAAATTCGATTTCATTGTTTAAAAAAAGAAAGAAAAACTGAGGACAAAATGTTAATCACGTAGCTATGTGAAGAACACTGTAACTAGGTACACATATACTTACTAGTTAGTGAACACTAACTAGAATTCATCTATATTTAAATATTTAGTTATAATTTATAATGATACCTACTTTATTCTTTTGAACTTAAGAAGGGAAAGCCATTTAATATGGTAAATGTATTTTTATTTATATTGTTATTTGATATTCGATCATTAGTGTTACATAATAGTAAATATTTAAACGATATTATTTGTACATTTTTAATAATATATACTATATTATATAGTATACATTGTTACTTACCTAAACTACATTAAATAAAAAATAAAAATAAAACAATCATCAATTGAATTTTTTATTAATTTATCATATTAATAATTATATGTTTTATTCGCCACTGATGATTTTTTTCAGGTAGTAGTAGTTAGGACCCTACTTCATATTTATTTGATTTGTATTAAATATTTTTTAATATATTTTTTTTTTTTTTTTATCCGGTTAATGGGCTAAAAATAAAATAAGTATACTGGAAATTTTCACAGTTACCTACCTATATAATTATGTATTGTAATATTAAGAAATGTTAGTTATATAACTATAAAATTTGGATTTATTTCTTTATTTCACTTTTGAAAATGTGAATAGAAAAATAATCGATGTCTTCGAAAATCTATTACTATATTAGTGGTCAAATTATCAAATTCAATAATAATGAATTGTTAAATATAAACTATATAGTGGATCAGGACAATCTTTATAAATGTAATATTTTAATAGCCTAATAATCGTTATGTGTGGGTGTAGGTATACATTTTTGAAAATAATATTCATTGTGGTCAGTGGTGGATTCAAGAGAGACCAAGGGGCTTACCAATCCCCCCCTGACAATTATATTATGTATACAACTATATGTAAGGCCTAAAATCAAATCTTAAATATTCTATTTAGAAAATAATATAATATATGAACACAATAATATGAAAAATGTTGGGTTCCTAATCAAAAATCCTGGATCTGTCACTAATTGTGGTCTAATAACCGGTGTCAATTTTTCTTTCTTGTATCACGCCATCTCGATTTTATGATATTTATAAATTACTAATAACAACATAAATATTAAAACATATTGTCTTCGATTAGAATCATTTTTTATTTGGGTACCTATAACTATTTTTTCATTAAATTTAAAATTAACATCCATTTTAACTGCTTGACAATGAGGTTTACTCGACACCATGACACTAAACATACAACAATGCTAGTAGATCAATTTTTCCAATTCTTTTTAACAATATCATTTACGTGCAAAATCTAATTTTGATAGTGTTACATATCAAGTGACCATAGCTTTAAACTCAATTAACCATATTATTTATTAACGAATAAAACTTAATAAGTAATACAAATCTATTAAATACTTATGCATATAGGTAGGTATATTTCATAATTTATTTCTATGCTTCGTTCTATTAAATATTACCTGTACAACAATACAAATTAATATTATATTATTTGAAAACCTTTATCCAATAATAAATAATAACAATTATTAAAAAATAATAATAAGTACTAGTTTATAAGTTAGTATCCTTCGTTTATAATTGATGTTGGCTGGTAGATTGACGTTTCCCTAAAACATACAATTTTAAATTTAATTAAAAACATCCAAAATATATAGGAAAATAATAATACGAAATAAAATTAATGCATGTTATTATAGTTATTATATTAACTATATTTTATTGTATTTTTTTTTCCTTAACATGTTATTACTAATAAGTCAGTATAAGTAAAAACCTTGTAAATATTCTAAAAACTAGAAAACTGTGTTATAATATAATATAATATATTATATAATGCATAATATAATCTTCAATAGTTCTAAAACAAAAGAATTAGTGCAATACGCATTAAATAATATGTCGATATAAAATTTAAAATTATATTAATGTATTTTACATTTAATTATTGTATTTTAATTTAAGAATTTTGGTCATTTTTGATCCTATAGTAAACCGTTAATATATATTATATCTACTATTTTATTTGCTTAGTTACATTTAATATTACAAGAAATATTAGTATTTCTATAATAATTCAAGTAAGTACAATTTGGAAACAATATTTAATTGTACAAGTAGTTCTTACTGTTCTTAGCTGGGTGTATTCGACCATAATTAAGTTCTCAGTGGCAAAATTCTAATAATACAAAAATTACATAACATATGTAAAATTTATCGTTTCTCTTTTATTTTAAGTTATTATTAATATGATTCATACAGATACAATGGGTTCATGATAAAAGTACGAAAATTTCCATACGCATATATATGCATTATTCATGGGTAATTTATAAGCTATTACAAAATCACCTAGCTATACTTATATAGTCACTTAAATACGTAGATAGGTTAGCCTAACCCATTATGTATCAACAAGAAACATATAGTAGTAAATCGATTTATTTTTGTGAATAATAATAAATTAAGTATGTCATCAGTAATACGAATAAACTAATAGTCATCACACAAATCACAATTAACTAATTAATTATAAATTGACCAGTGGCCAGATTTCTATGAAAAAAAATATAGTATAAAATGGACAAAAATACCAGGAAAATTATTTGAATTTTTAAATTTGTGCAAATTGTAAAATACTTTTAATTAATTTTTTTACTTTATTATAAAACAATTAAAATGGCGCTTGGTGTTGTATAAAATATTCAAAAAATAATTAATTTTTAAGTTATCCAATTGATCATTTCATTATCTTACGTTTAAAATAACTTAAAACTGAGAAGAGTTTGAATTATATTAATTTAATGTTTATAAAATATGCTCATGTTATGCCATTAACTATATAAGTAGGTATATATAGCTTATGACTCCATATTATTTATTAATAAACAATTATTTTTGTACTAAGAATCTAAAAATATAAAACTAAATCACCTGAAATTAGTTACATACATAGATAGTTAAGTACAGTATATGGCCAACGGCGACAAAATTTGGTTTTACCAATGACATAGCATATCATACGAAATTGAATAAGTAATTACTAATTTGATAATTGTATACATTTTAAATAAGTTAAAATTATTAGTAAAAAACGTTTTCTAGTGATTAATATATTTACCAACAACATGGTAAGTGTTAATGTTCAACATTTTATCACATATATTTTTGATTATTTTGGCATCTGTATCCTGTTAGTAAACTAACAACTTTTAGACGGATAACATTAAATTTAGTCCCGCAAATACTTTTGGATTATTGGAGTTGATTCCGACCAATATTGTTAGGTTATTCGAGTTGAGTCCCTTTTTATTAATTGTAATAATAAATATAAATAAGAGTTAATTAATTAAAAAATATCAAAAATAATAATAAATAAAGGTACTCTTTACCTATAATTTTTTATCGACAGTATAGAAAAATACTAAAAAAAATTGAAAATTTGTCATACCTTGATAAATATTTCAAAAAGAGTTAAAATTTATTAAAAAAATTTTCATAGTATAGGTATTGAAAATAATAATTTGGAAATTTCAAATACATACTTATCTTATTATTTTTGGAAATATAACAAAATAATAAAAATTGTTTAAAGAAAAATAATTATTTTACAGGTGAATATCTAAAAATACACTCCACTTTTCACTCGTAATAATTTTATAATTAATTAAGTAGGTATCAACTAATTATTGTGTGCCACCGGCTAAATAGGTAGTTATGATATGACATTTTATCTATATGAACTCAATTCAAAGATATTTAGATAATAAGCTGGACATAAAAGTAACATAGACTCAATTCAGTCAATTCAATTTCACTGTTCAGTCATCATACGTATTTAAAAAAATATTAATCAATAATTGAGGTTTATGAAGTTACAGCGTGCAGACTACGAGTACAAATGGAGATTGAAACACCTTGTGAATATGGGATACTATACCATACATATAATAAAATAAATAATAATCGGTATGATAATTACAGTAAATTTTCGGTAGTTAGGTACGTATTAACTATTATTTTAGCTTTATTCGAATTGCGTGCCAAAAAAAGAACGATTTTAATCAATAGCCGAATTTCATACCTACGCACAGGGCCGTATTAACTATTAGGCACTGTAGGCACTTTGCCTAGGACCTACAAAAAAATGGCTAGATCTAAAAAAAATACATAATAAAAACATAAGATCTTTCGCTACACTCAAAATCTAAAAACAGCCTACTAGTGTAAAATATTTAATCAAATTATTTACATGAGCGCTATAGTTATGGATGATATTATTATATAATATTATGCATGACATATGCCATGCGATATAGAAATTATTATTGTTGTAGATGGGTACTCTAATCTAATAATTGTAATAAATTATACATTTATAAATAATTAGTTATTACTAGTTAAATAATAATTAATATACATTGTGCATAATATGCAAAGTTAAAAAAATATACAAAAATAGTATTCAAAAGTACTTATCTTATGAAATTCAGTTTTTCCAGAACCTGGGGCCTACGGATGGCCTTAATCTGGCACTGAAGTTACACAATTTTTTTAACGATAAAATCAAGTTTTATACGCGTTTTTTCATGACAGCTGCAGCATCGCTTCGCATTGTGTACATAAAAGTTGGGTTAAAAACAAACGCCAGGATTTTTCTGGCATGTACATAAGACATTAAGCCGTACATTTTCTTGCCCCTTCACAATATTCAAAATATTGCAATTTTTTTGTGAATAACTAGCATATGTTTGCACGACTATTTTTGAAATTTATACGTTTATCGTTTTTGAATAAAACTGAAAAATCGCTGTGGTGAACTCGTCAAACATAAAAATATGTTAATATCAAAATTTATTAATGACATTTCTCCAATATCCTACAAAAGTGAAATAATGTAATTTTATAACTTTTTCCTATGCCAATATTTAGCTACATAATTAATATAAATTTTCACAGACTCAATAATTATTCAATTTTTGCTTTATTTCATTTTAAATGGAAAATTGTTTTATAAAGCGTGGGAATGTCATACAAAAATTTCGGGTCCAGTCAAATACATGCCATTTGTAGTAAAAAAAAATTGTAATATTTTCAATGTGGTTTAAGTCATAGAAATTTACGTGAAAAAGACGTATTCTTTAATTTTAACTAAACATTTTTTTTCACTATTTTATATTTTTAAACACATTAATTTACTTAATTTTTTTAATCGTAACAACTATATTTTTAAGGAATTCTAATAATTTTTTCTTTCTTTAAAATTGTATGGTCAAATTATCAATTTTGTTTTGCTAGTTTATTAACTACAACCCTTTTACTAAAGTTTAATAAATTCATTAAATGAAATAAATTGAATTAATTTAATTTACTAAAACTTCAATAATTGAATCGATAATGCGGATACCTAATGAGTAATGGTATAAGCATGGCATAAAATAAACCATGTAGTTAGAATCTAGATCAATTATACGACAAATAAAAAATAGATATATATAGTTATTTATGTATCGCTACTTTTAGTTATTTTAGTTTGAAAATATTTTAATTAAATTAAATTTATATCAAAAATATTAAGATTTTAATTTTTTTTTTTTAATTATACAAAATTTAAACCGACATTTTTATCAAATATAATATAACACAGGATAATAAACTTGAATTTTTTAAATTTTTAATCCAATCATTTTTACTGAATGTTAAATATGTTGTTTCTTGCACAAATCGCAGTTTTATCAGGCTCTGTCGTAAAAAAATCTATGCGTAGCTCAATTTTACGCGTAAATCTACGTACACAATTTATTCTATAGATAATGATTTTTGCACGCCATTTGGAAACACCAATTATTTTATAAATGGCTGATAAAATTTCCAAAGTAAGCGCAGAAGCCTTCACATTACGCTATCCCACAGATTTATAAGTAAAATTCATCAAAATCGTTACCACAATATATTTTAGCCATCCGTAGGTATCTATCATTCATTACATTACACGCTTCCTATAAATTTCTTTATAAATTCAAAATAAGTCGAAATTACCTTAGTTGATAGTCTTGAACATAAGGAGATTTGTTTTGATTAAATATCCTATGATAGTATGACAGCGAATTTTTTCGTTTTGCACAGCATATCATAATTCCCATTGTAAATGGTACCGTCAATATAACACCAATTAATATTCCAATTAACAATATTCCGTCTCTTTCGGGTCGATTATTGTAGAAATCCAAACACCGCATATGGTAATGGCGATGATCTAAATCAAGAATCGAAATTCCACTCATTTCAATTGGCACTTGACAACTAAAATCCAATTATTATGAAATATGTTATTGGAGTTATGTTATTACACCAAAATTGTACATAAATAATTATAATTACGTGAAATCATTAAGAAATTCCGGATGATTTGATTTTACCATTGGAGCTAAAGTAGACACGAGCCATTGATTTACACAATCACATATCCACTTATTACCTTGTAAGTTCAATTCTTCCAAAGTGTCCCATCTACCCAACAAACGGCTATCCAAGTATCCTAAAGCGTTGTAACTCAAATCTAATACAAATAAAGATCACTCAAAACTAACTATTATAAATAAAAGCTGATCTTTTTGACTAGTAATAGACAAACTTACTTTTTTTATTGGAGGCCACAGTTCGCCTTCTAATCCTTCATTAAATTTGTAGCTAAACGCAGTCGGGTCTATCGATTCAAGTTTATTATTATGCGCACAATGAAATTCCTCAAGAACATTCAAAAGGCTAAAAGCATGTGGCCCAATATTGTTCAGTTCAGGCATGTGTGATAAATGAAGTACTGTTAATGATGCCATTTTTGGGAAATTTCTTAATAACAATATTTATATTTACAATTTAAAACAATATCACAATGCAACACTGTCACTAATAGTGTAAATAAAAATAAAATATACTTACAAGATGCTTTTTATCGGATTAGAATTAAAATTTAATTTCTGTAACGCATGTGCTTCCTCTAGTCCTTGTGGAATTTGTGTGAATTTATTATTTGACAGATTTAATATTTCTAAAAATCGAGGTGTGTGTAAAAGATGATCCGGTAGCTCGTGTAAAGATGTATTAGACAAACTTAAGATCTGATAAAATTGTAGATTTTTAAACGATTATTACCTTAAAATATAAATGTTATTTTTATACTTTTAACATGGGCAATGAAGACAATGCAAAACTAGTTGATCGGTCAATGACTGTTAAAGGATTTCCTGATAGTGTCAATGAAACGAGGTTACTAAGTTCTTTAAAAGTATGCGGCAACAGTGAATGAATATTATTGTAATCAAGGCGTAAATGAATCAGCCTACCCGGTTTAGAAATGTCTTCGTAATTAATCTATAAAACGAAAATTAAACATAATTTTTAACGATTTCGTTTACACAAAACTCAATAGAATTAAAAAAATATACCAACCTTGAAAATATCGGGATTTAGACTTTCCGCCGTCAAAGAGTTGTAACTAAGGTCAAGTTCTAAGAGAAACTCTAAGTTCATAAACGCCATTTCATCTATTTTGTTTATCTTGTTTTTTCGAAATGATAAGTAGCTAACTTTAGACGGTGGTAGTTGTTTCACATGTACAATGCCATTATAATTAAAATGCATGATTGTTGCATTATTTACAATTTCTGTGTGATCCCATAGATCTAGAATGTTCATCATTCCATTTTCTGTACAATTTATAACGGAATTTCGACATGTGCAAGTATCACATAAAATACTTTCACCACTAGCCACACAAGTTACTATGATAATTAGTACACATGATGCAACGTTTGACCAGAACCTGAAAAAAAAAACATACGTTTGTAAAATTAAAAAAAAATAAATATTTAATAAACTTTGTGTTGTAATTAACTGTAAACATAAATAAAAAACTATACACTAACATGTTCATGAATAGAAAAAAAACTACTATTAATCCTGGTTGAATTTCAATTTCTGAATCGAGGCGTTGGTAGGCATTAGCTCGTGTAGCGCACAAAGCAGAGTCAACAATTTCGAGCGCAAGATAAATAAATAAATCTTATCATAAAACAAACATTATAGTTTAGATACGCCATTGTCTAACGTAACGTAACTAATTCCATGCCTACTTTTATTTTAGTCTAAATGCATATAGGTGTTATACGACGAGTTATTAAGAATCAATAATAATAAATAAAAATAGATTAGGTTACTCGTTGTTACAAATATAGGTATAAATTATGATGTTATATTTTTTTTTCTTAACTTTGTAAGCCTTGCCCATAGAAACACATTGCTCGTTATTATAACTATATTATGATCGTAATTATTCGAATAAACGTTGTGCCTAAGCATATCGACTACAAACCGTCATGATCACAATTTGAACGATACACCGAACAAGGAAAGTAACCATACACAGGTACAATAACAACAAATAATTATCTCGTAGACATTGGTTGTACTATAATAATAATTAATGTTTCCTAATCGACGCCAATTACTTATAATATACACATGGGTTATCACTATAGTCAATAACGAGTTCACGGATTATTATGATGACGTATAAATAATAATAAATCGTCTTATAATAAATTCATATAAATCTTATTTAGTCATGATACTCAAATTTTCAGGATGTTTTTTTTTTTATACCACCAATAAACGTGTATTATGTTATTTTATTGGAGTAAAAATACAGACAATTTGTTCAATACAAAGTTAAAAGAAAAAATTTATTTTGAATACTTAAGACTATTCCAGTTAAAGACATTATACCATTATAGAAAATAATATAATTTGTTTCTTTGGAGTATCTTGAAATTTTTGTAAATTTTGATAAAAAATTACTTAATTATTTCAATTCATGATTGTTATTGTAATAAAATTACATATATTTAGAGATCTACATATACAAATTATTATTATCATTTAGTGTTTAATAATAAAATAATATATTTTTTTTAAGTTGCGATAAATGTCTGTTTTATTTTATTTTATATTATAATATAACAGTTAGTGACTTTGTCACAAGAATGTATCGTGTTGTCTTTTACGTTAATTCGAAAGGTAGCTTACATGATTAAATTTACAAGTAAATCTTAGAACAAGAATTTTAACAATTTAATTTATACGTGTAAAAGTAATTTATATTACATTGAAAAATGTGAACATAACAATGTTCAAAACTAATCAAAGATTTCATCATTCTCTGATCACGCGCTATATTTAATAAAACTAACTTAGCTTGGGATCGTTTCCTTAATGCCTATGATTTTCATAAATTTATAATTTATTACCCTTTGTCGAGGTAAGATACTTGTATAATAACACTGTCCTAGCGCACTACTGCAGTTTATTATTGTAGGTATATATATATACATGATTTTTTTTTTTTTATTGAATAAAATACACAAAACAAAAATATTTATGCGTAATGTATTTAGAATAGGTACTAAATCAATCCTCATTGTAAATGATTATTTTACTTGTACAGATTTTAACATTTTTTTTTTTAAAAAGTTAAATATTTGTTAATGTCTGCCTTTACGTGTTAGGGCAATTACGAAGAAATATAGCGATTAAGAACATTCAAGTTGTCAGTCTTTTTTGTTTTATTATTTTTTATGTTATCAGATATACAACAAATTTCACAAAATATAAACATACTTAAAAATAATTATTATTGCAGTAAGGCGTAAATTAATGATTTAATATTTTTCAAACTTAGAATACCTAGTTAAAAAACAATATTATTTATATATGCTATAAATATAATATAGTCTATAGTTGTGCCTTGATTATATTGAAATATGAATGTAATATTGAATAATTAACTAAAATGAAAGTTTGGCTAACTAATTAGTATGCCTAAAGGTTATCATATTGGTTTTCCGTGTTCATTTAGTTGTACAGATTTGAATTGGCATTGATTCAAGAATATGTTAGACAAATCGTATTATTATACTACCTACTAATAATAATTATAGGACGTAAGACTGAACTATATCATTTTTTATATAATGTATATACTACGTACCTACTTACTCCATTTTCTTTAAGATTTTCAAACATTTATTACTAGGTATTTTTTAAGTGTATATTATAGGCTAAAGTATTTATGGTTCTAATAAAATGACAGTAATAATAAAAACCTTAAATTTGTAATTTAATTACACGTATACAACAGATTATTACTAGTTTAGTGTAATGTTATGTATAATATACAATGCAATTTCAATAGTTTGTTTATTAGCTATAAAATAGCTATTTTTTTTTTTTTTTTTAACAACACTTTAAAATATAATTATATTGTACCCATTGTTACTAAATGTTCCTATTGTTTTTAATTTTACGGAGAGTTAATTATCTCATTTAATAATTTATTTAAAAAAAAAAAATGGTACCTATGTGAAGTATTAACTTTTATTTCTTATAGGTTCCTAATTCATTTTGGCGCTTTTATTAAACATAAAAATTGAATTTCCTATGTATTTTTTAAGATATTTCACATTTGTTCATTTGTATAACCACTTGAACAAAAATTATGTAATAGAAACTCAGTTGCTAAAAACAGACTTAATGATATCTATAGATTATAATAACTTAATAAATAGGTACATATTTTAATTTTTAGATACTGCTGTTATTTTTTAATTGAATAAAATATCATGTGGCATAAACATAGATACTTTTAAATTTTTTAAAAAAAATACCATTTATTTATATTTAATATTCTGGTTCAGATTGAATGAACTGATTGGAAAGTAAAACTAAAATGGAATGATATTTGAAAAAAATTGTTTTAGGTTTTGCAGTACCTACTTTCCCTGGACTCAGTAAAATATGAATATTATTAGTACTAACCATCAACAGTTATTGAAAAACTTTGAACTTAGCTTTTTCCTGGATAGTTTTTTTCATTAACGACCATTATTAACTTTAATATTAAAATAATACAATACTACAATAATCTCTACTTTTTATCTTTACACAATTATACAGAATTATGATGCACAATTTATAAATTGATATGCCATGTTACTATTCTTAAGTTGTTTTCTAATTGTTGAACTATAATAGTTTATTACTTGAAACTAATAAAAATAAAAAATAAAATATGATGCACAATATTAGTATGCACCTATATCTATTATTCAATACTAAACAAATAATTTAGATAAGTACCTGTTTTAATACTATGTACTAATTAATAACTAATATACATTATACAGAGTATTTCATAGTGATTTAATAAACAAATACATCTTTCCAATAAATATACTTAAAACAAAAAATAATAAGTAATAACTTAAATAACTCTACTAACTTTCAACATACATAATACCAATGCCTACCTAATTATAAATCATTAACTAAACTTTTTAAATGTATAAATATGTATATAATACTACAAATTCAAATATTTATATAACAAGTTATAAAAAAACATTAATTAAATATTCATAGATAAAAACAAACATAATGTTTATTCACACTCTGTTTAATGAATCAAGTACTTATAACAAACTCAAAATAAAAAGAGCAAAAATAATATAAGAGTAAATTTGTACTGAAAATTTTCATTAAACTGTTTAGAATATAGATGATGTTTAGTGATATTATATTGACCAATTGTAATAAATTGGTATACAAATAAATTTAGGCAGTGTTTAATAATGTATAAGCACAAATATATGCAATTCAAGAATAACATTGTCAAAACACGTAGTCTTCATAATACATAAAATATGTTTATTAATTAATATAAAATATCTGTGAAGTTTGTGTACACAGTAAAATGCAAGTAAGGACTTAACGAGTTAAGTCAACCTAATTTTTCAAATACACATGCTACATTTCAAAAAAAAGATTGACTTTAATCATTTGTATTATGAATTAACAATTAAGTTAATTATTATAAACCCATATGTTTTTATATACTGTGTAGTAGTGTAAAGTTCAAAATAAAAGGTTTCTAAATTTTAATCTGAAATAATTAAAGTATATAATTAAAAAAAAAAACTGAGATTACTTACATGGAAATTTAAATACTGTAAAAAAGACAAATTACAAACATAAATAATGTTCTTGATTAATTTTATCATCGATTAATTCACTCAAAAAGTTAATAACACATGATTACTGATTGGTTCTGAAGTTTGCTGGTTACAAATGTTTTGCATATCAAAGAGAAAAAAATCACATTACGCTGACATTCTCTTAAGAGAACTTATTCTAATAACATTATTAAAATAAAAATATCCATTACCTATCGTAAAAATTAAAATATATAATGAATAATATTGTTATCATAATTACAACAATGTAATCACAATAAGTAAAATACAGGAATTTGAACTATACCACGTGTAAGAGGAGAAAAAATTATACTGATATGTAATTTAAAGCATAGAATATTCTGTTGATTAAATATTTAACGGTATATTTAATAAATGATAATACTCTCCTTAATTAATTTAAAAATTTTCTTACTATTATAGATATCTCTGTATTTAATTGTGTAATATGCATTCTTACAATAATAATTACTGGTGGTAGTGTCTTTAAAAGTATAAGCATTAAATTTAATATTTTATTATTAATAAAATATTGTATTAATTTGGAGGTTAAAAACCAGATTATAATAACTTTTATTTTTGGCAGTACCAAATTAATATACAACTTTTTATAATTATTATAAACTTAATAAATAAGAAAATACGTTTAATAAAACCCAAATAATAAACATAAGTAACATGAAAATCATTTTAAATTTACTATCTGACCTCTGATATATGGGTCTTTTAATTTTGATTTTTTAAAGAAAATTATTTAAAAATTTACCAAAAATTGCTAATTATTTCTTAGAAAAATCAAAGATATAGGTATCAAATAATATTAGGTGTTTGAATTGTAAATCATATTACGTAATTAATATTTTATAATAAGTAATTAAATAAAACAGGTGAATATTTTAATATTAAAACCAATGATAATTTATTTTTCCATTAATATTGGTAAACAAAAGTTAACATCAAATTTTCTTTATAGAAAGTAGATAAAAAAAAAATTTACATAGAATTTGAAACAACAAACATTTTGTATATTTTATACAATTTCACCATTACTTATCTATTGTTCTAGTGTTTTGCTCTGCCAAAGGTTTTTGTCCTCCCCTTCTTCTTGATTTATGAGCAGGCTGATTTTCATTTTCCCCAACATTCTATAATAACAAATACTTAGAAGTAAATATCTAAGGGCTTATAAGGGTTTTTATATATTTTAATGTTTAATTACTTGTCCTTGTGCTTGAGGGTTTGACTTTTGAGGTTTTTGTGATTGTCTGACACCCACTTGCCCTGTTGGAGGGGGTACAGATAACACATTGCCAACAGCTTTTGTCCTACCTTCCCTAAATACCAATCTTTGACCAGGTCGTAAGTACTCTGGATATTTAATGAACCTAAACCTTACTTTTGCTTTATCCCCAGTTCTCAAACATTCTTCAGACATACTAAGAATAGATGCTGTTTGTCGAATACTACCACAATGAACTAAATACAAAAGAAAAAGAAAATAGTGACTAAAAATTAAATTATTAACATAATTTATTATTGATAACATACCCATAGCTTGGTAACGAGAACTAATAGTTGTTGGATGATGTAATACAAGTATCTCTCCATCAAACTCCCATGTAGCAGATGGATTGAGTGATGGAGAAACCATTACCATTCCCTTTCGAATTTGGGATCTTTTAATTTTTTTTAAAGCAAAAGAAGCAGTTTGTCCGGCTTTTACTTCACGTACAACCATTCTTTTACGATGTATACTCTTTACTGTGATTGCAACAAACTGGCCAACAGGATCAGGTCCTAACATTAGTGTGTCATTTAAACGAATTGTTCCACATAATGTTGTACCAGAAACTACTGTTCCAACACCCTAAAATTATAAATTGTTTTCTAATATATTCTAACATCATTAGTTAATAATAATGAAAAATAAAAAATACATACAGGCACAGAATAAGTGTCATCTATTTGAAATTCAGCTGGATCATTATCAGTAGACATAACTCGAGTAGTTAAAAGATTCAAAAACATTTTCAATAAATCTAAATTTTCGCCATTTACATTGGAAACTTGAAATATTGGGCATAGTCTTAACAAAATATATTAATTAAATACAAAATCAAATAAATATATAACATATTTAATGTTACACACCTTTGAGAAACAAAATTTGTAGCACTCACAATGACATCATCCTTAGTCTTAACCATTACTGGAACTTTCCTGCAACCTGGTGATTTAAGTATACGAACTAGTAATCTTAATGTATCTTGAAGTATATTAGGGGGACACATATCAATTTTTGTAACAACTACAAATACTGGTACACTAAGCGCTAATGCAAGACCTAAATGTTCTTTGGTCATTCCAATTATTCCAGCATTAGCTCCAATCTAAATACAATTATGATTTTAAAACCTATAACTGTGAAATTTAATTTTAAATTACCATTAACATGCCAAAATCTGGCATATGTCCAGTCATACCAAATACAGTAGTCTTTAAATAACGTTCATGTCCAGCTAAGTCAATAAAGGTAATTACTTTGGTTGATTTCTCACATATTTTTACCCAATCCAATGATCCATGTTCTGGTCTATTCACTACTTCCCCTGTGCTATCAAAACCAAGAATATCATTGCCTACAGAGCTTGTTCGTCCAGATTCCATTTCATGTTTGTGTCTAAATAGTTTTAACCTTGCATGGCCTCGACCATTATCTAATTCACCGTGAGTCAAAACTCCCAATAATGTTGATTTTCCAGCATCAACATTTCCTACAACCGCTACCCTAAATTAAAAATTACATGAATTTTTTATTCGTAAAATGTTTAATCACTAGTTACCGTATCTCAAGAAAGTCTTGGGATTCTAATCGTTTTCTAACGAGATACTGTGCAGTACTAGTTCCACCTTCTACTCTTTCTCTAAGAAGAACACAGTCTGCATCTTGAGTTGCTGCTAATGAATGTAGTGTAGCCACAGAAGCTTCAAACTCATCATTTGTTAAGCCGCTACCGTCGTCTCCAATACCTACATCATAAATAGTTTCGCCATGACCTTCTTCAATTAGCTCTTTGAGTCTATGCTGCAATGTTTCAAATTGCTCTTCTGACGGACTAACCAGACTTGACTAAAAATAGAAAATGGAAAAGGCGAAATCAATTTTTAATGCCATATTTTACTCATGAAATATAAATTATTAGATATATGCATTGTTAGAAATAAAAAATATAATTTATCTTTAATTATATAATAATAGTTTATTAATTATGATTAAAAAACATTAATATTGAATATTAATTTAAAAAAACAAAATTACCTTTCCTCGAACAATGGAATAATCAACTTTTTTTGTTTCCTTTTCATCTAATTGACATCCATTCAACAAGGAAATGGCTTTATCTGCTGTATTTGGAGTTTGTTCAACTATGTTCGCCATTTAAATGTGCTACAGTTGGACAATTGTTCTCAAGTATTATTTAGCAAATATAACGGACAGGAACGCCATTATAGGTCAAAATATCATTCTACAGCAAAAGCTGTTATTAGTAACAGTTATTTAAAAGTTATACAGTTATCAATTGAAAAAATATATAACTACTTCTTAATACAAAGTACCTCAAAATCGAATGACAGCCAATATTAACTTAGCAGATCCGAAACTAATGCAATAATTTACTGGCGTACAGCTACGATGGTCATTTGTCGTCAAACAAAATTAGTATTTACTATTTATCAAGAGTAAGTCATTCTAATTCTAAACATAAATATTTTAACACCTTGTCAGTTGTAACTATTATTATTATATATTATAAATATTATTATTATTATTGTCGAGTTGTTATCAAAACGTTGTTCGACGATGTAAACATTGTAAACGTATTAGTATTTGTCAGTGCAGGTCGCAATGAGTAGAAATAACGAAAGCTCCCCCACCTGTACACTAAAATTAAAATACTAAATTAATATAAATCTTTCGAGTTTCAAATGTCACGCTTTTTTTGGTTGCCAGTTTATTCTTTACTATCAATTTAGATGAAAATGTTCAACTGAGACTTGTTGTTGATATAATTACTAATTACTGTTCTCCGTTAGCGATTGAGAATAAAACCAAGTATTATAAAAATTATATAATCTATAAAAACATAAAAATTCAGTATTGAAAAAAAAAAATGGTAAGTTAAATTTATACCATTGATTATAGAATAGACTATAATATATATAGTCTATTCTATAATCAATGTTTATACCAATCATCGAATAATTTATAAATCAGTGTCACCACATTTAAAATAATATGTCTCTCATGTATTAAAGATTACGATGGGACAATTTCTGTAGTTCCACATAACATTTGTTCCAATAATCATATTTTGTTCTACAACACTAAAATCGATTTTTTTAAATTTATAAACAGTAGTTTTTAACGTGATAATAAGATAGGGTTTATTACTCTATGGTTTTAATCAGTAGTTGATAAGAATAAAGATTTGATAAAATTATATTTTGTTATAGGAGGGGATTGATATTGTTAAACGCATATTATAATCATTATTCATTTCTGAATTAGTTATTTCTATTTTCTAGTAACTTTTTATTTTGTTCACTATTAATTTGTCACTGATTAAATCTATTATTGTAACTGATTTTTTAATTAATTTCATTCATTATTAGTAGTTTTTTTTTTTTTCATGATAAAAGTATTTTGTAAATTGTAAAAATCGTGTGGATAAATATTTTGATCTTTATCATTTTCTGCTTTCGACTCGTAGTTCATACCTCGTGTAATGAAAATCCAAAATATTATTTCTCTATAGAAATGCAAATTTAATCCATCGACAATTTTGGTTAGCTCTAAGTGCTTGCACCCTGTTCTTGACAGTCAATCGTCTTTTAGTATATAATAGATTACCAATGGAGGAGTATTCCAAAGAAATCTTTTGCTGTTCTCAGTGGATCAAAAACGAAAAATTCGAAAAAGTAATTCAATCTGGACAGTTGTCCTGTAAACCTTATTCGTAACATTTCAATATGATAATATTATTCATGTTGTATTGCATATTATATAGGTATGCATTCAATTACCGGACTACATGTTGTGCAAAAGTGTATTTATTTCATCAGAATTTGAAAGGCTGCTGGATCGCCGTGTATATATACTTGGCGATACTTCTTATGGCAGGTGATCATTAATAATATTGCTGTTTATTCAAATACTATGATTATCCACATTAATACTAATGCTATTTACACTGGTAGTCTGATATGATTATATAGTTTTTTTCATAACAATTTCAGCTGTTGTGTCGATGAAACAGCTGCTCAACATATAGCTGCTGATTGTGTTGTTCATTTTGGACGGTCATGTCTAACACCAAATCGTCACCTTCCTGTTTATTACATTCTTCCTAAACAGCCCTTAGACTATATTCAATGTGCCAATTCGATAATTAAAACCTTTGAAACTAAAGAAGGACTGGTTTTGGTACTGTATGATGTGTCTTATCATCATATCCGCGGTAAATTCTTAATCAATATTATATTTTAGAATTTATTATAATATCCAATAATAATGATTTTTTTTTTTCATTCTAGACAATTTGGCCAAATCATTATCATCTAATAAGTCGATAATATTATCTGACTTAGATTTAAAAATACACAATACAACTAGTTATACTGTACCCGATGACCGTGAATATACAAGCATATTTGGAAGACGATTTCTTAACTTAAATTACAAAAATATTGTTTATATAATTAATGATAATTACATGAATAATGTCGATAGATTTATATTAGAGAACAAAGGTACAAGTATTAGGTTTTACTATGATATAGATAATTTACAATTATTTTATATGCATAAATTTGTTTTATAGAATGTCAAGTATATATTTATCAAAATAATTGTAATGTATTGACACAACGAACTTTAACATCAGTAATAAAAAAAAAAAATTTTATTAAAGAAAAGATTAAAGATTCTACTCATATTGGAATACTCATATGCAGTTTAAGCATCAAAGATTTAATCGAGCGTATTAATAAAGTTAAATGTTTATGCAAAAAGACGAACAAAAAATGTTATATTTTTTCTGTTGGACGTCCTAATGTTGCCAAATTAGCTAATTTTCCAGAAGTAATATATTTCATGCTAATGGTTAACTGTATGCAATGACTATTTATTTATACATTTATTTAGATCGAAATATTTGTGAATATTACTTGTGCAGAAGGAGTAATAGAAAATCAAAAAGAATATTTGCAACCAATTGTTAATATTGATGACATTGAATTAGCTTTGGGAACTGAAAACGCTAGCGGTACTTAATATTTATATACTGTTCTTATTCTTATATAGTAATTTAGTAATTTATTTATAACAATTTTATTTTATTTTAGATTCACCAGATATATCTTTAGTAACTAACAAATTAAGAAACATTACAATGCCTAAAGAGGAAATCGAGTTATCTTCAGCATTAAATTTCAGAAGAGATATGTCATTATCGATGGTCACTCAAAATAGAACATGGACGGGACTTAATCCACATGATGAACGACCGCCGGTTATAATAGCTACAGAAGGAAGAAAAGGCACTCCAAGTTCTGGATATATCACATCTGATTCAGAATATCGTAGTTAAAGAAAATTGTTTATGAATGTTTTTTCCAAAACATTAACATATTATTTCTATTTAGTTAAAGAACACAATGAAATAATATTGTTCAAATTATTGGTATAGGATTTGTTATTAGGCAATAATTATTGATAATAAAGTAATAATAATTTCTTACTTTCAAATTAAATATTTAATATATTTTTTTATTTATTTTATAAATAATTTATTAAATATATAAAAAATACTGCCATTTTATAATAGTTGATATTTATATGATTTTAATATACTAAGTTCAAAGTATCTTCTAGTCATTAAAAAGAATAATGTTTTAATTCTTTTCTTGTACATCAATGGCATTTTAATTGTTTATGAAATGTAGAAATTACTACTTATCTATTATTTAGTTTTTATTAAAATTGATTTTACGATTAAGAACTGAAAGTGTACAAATACAACTTTAATAGTTGTGTTAAGCTTTATTACTCTTTGTTTACGAGGAAACTATTTTATTTATTAAATGAGGTAATATTTAATAATTTATCATATTTCGACAGATGATCACATTAATTAAATAATATGATACATTTTATTTTTTCCTGGTAGGTATAATATTCCTCAGATATTTTTACACCTATAACTATTAACAAAAATTTAAGTTTTTTTCTTTTAGAAACCTCTCAGCTTTAAAAATATTCGGAAGAAAATATTCACACTATTTGGCAATTAAGAGTATTGATGTTGAATTATATGCAATATTTTTAGCGGAGTTGGTTCAACTTATTGAATTAAGCAAATAATAATTTTATAACAAAACAAAAACAATCCACATGGTAAAATATTTTTAATCTACTGTATTTTTCGTTCAAAATTGTTTTTTATGTTCAATAATTATTTATTATTAAATTCAAGTTTAACACATCTATTAATTAAGTATACAAAATATATTCAATCTATGCTTAGTTAATGACGAGATTCACTTGAACCCTATGAGAATACAATAGAGCATGATTATCGATCTTATTAATTTAGTCCTATGTGGTTAGGTGCTTAGATCCTTATTTCGTGAATCTTCTAGCAGTTCAGTCTATCATCAAGAAAAATTAAGATGTAAAAATATCCTACATTCCTATCAATTACAAAACAACGTCTATTATTTGTACACATTAACAATACAAAACTAATTTAATTAAAAAAAAATTAACTATTAAACTAGTTTATGTTAACTTTAGCACAATATACCTATTCAAAAAAGTGATAAAACTAATTATATATTTAATGTCAAACAAATGGTACCAAAATTAATTTAGAAAAATCACGTGTGATTAAAAGAAAAAAAATTATAATTTTGCAGTTACTTAATTAAATTCAATTACTTCCTACTTCCTTTACAAGTATATTATATTGCATAGCTACCATAATCGGAAATTTTGTGAAATTTCTGAAGAGACTGAGCAATGAGCATTATATACTCGTTACACATATAAGTAGATACGACTGTAAATACTAAAGCAACTCAAAATTATTAATTTCAACAATACAATTATTTATTACAAAACAAATCTTTAACCATAAATCATAATAAAGTACAAAAACAATTGGATGCCTTATCTGATATCTCAAATATTTCAAAAGTATTCTAAACAGAAATTATTAGGTAGTTAAATTATAACCAATTTAGTATCTGTTCAAACCAAAAATGCCAAGTTTATGACATAATAAGTATAATACGTTAATGTTTTATCAAAAAAATATCAACTTGGTATGTCATTATCATTTATATTATTTAATATTTATGACAGAAGGTCATAGAATCTATTTTCAACCACTGTAGATAGCATCCAAGTTTTTATTCTGTACATTACTGAAAAAGAGCGCTCATATGTGGCCGAACTAATTGATAAAGTTAAATTCACATAGGCGCAACTAAGATAAAAATTCTTGAGGGAAGGGGCAAACAAATTTATTCGCTTCCATTTTAAATGTCATATTATTTATTTATAGTCAAAAAATAAATACAAATAATAATTGTTATTCTATATTCGTTGGCTTTTTAATTTATTATATTTTTCTAATATGTCATTATTATTTATATTATTGGACTTATCTCTCTAAATAGTTATCATGACTAAATTTGAAAACCTATCTTGCACCATTTATATATAATATGTTTTTAACCAATTTTTAATAGGTCTCATACAAGAAAAGGATCGTTCGCACGTTGTCGAACTTATTGGTATGGTTAGAGCTATTTGTAACATGTATCCTTCTTCACAATTTATTTGATGGTGTCTAATTCAAAATCGTTTTTTAAACTTAATACACAATTTTTAGCAACGAGTATCTCCGCCTTTAAATCATCTAAAAAACACGAAATTTTCAATTAATATGAATTTTTATGTATTAAATAAATATTTTTAAATTTTCAAAATTTACCTGATATTGATTTATAAAATATTCACTGTTTTTTAAAATTTTAAATCCATTTTGAGAAAACTATTTAAAGAATTGGCTAATAATTAGCTTACAGTTGAAATAAAACACAATATGCAACATTAATAAAAGACATTTTTATGATCATTGATAACTTAACATTATTGATAAATTATCAACTAAATTTGAACAAAATAAATTAAAATCACATGACACTCAATGACAGAAAAACCGGGAGGCTATTTGGCAAACTAGGGGGACTAAGTCCAACTTACCCCCTAATTGCGCCTAGTAAGTCTACCTATAGAAGTTTGTTAGAAACTTTAACAAATTCCAGAAATTGTTCTGCAATATTAAGGCCAACAGTATATCTTACATATCAAAATACTTATTCTTGCTAAAAATACCTTAAATTAGTTTAATTAAAATAACGAAATCCAACTATAAAAATAGTCGACAATGAAAAATCATTGCCTTAGCCTTTGGGTTATAATCAAAATAATTGTTTTATCTTTATTAAATTGAATATTTTAGGTGTACTTGTAATTTACATTAGATTTTTACTTAACTTCATCATACATTATTATAAACACTTTTGTGTCTTTAATGTCTTTTGTAATTTTAAATATCTGATGTTCTCAGTATATCAACTAGTCAACTCATCTTGCACAGAAAAATTAGTGTGATTGGTAATATTTTGATACTTTTCTTCAAATTTCTTTAATATTTTTTGTGGCAAGAATTTTTAATATATGTCTAAAGTGGAAAACGTATCTGATATTTTAAAATTGATTGAAGTACCTATTAGATAACATTTTAACAATGAACAAATTGTAATTTAAAGTTATTATTTTATTATTTGTTTACATTTAATATGTTATACCTACACACTAATATTATTTGAATAAGTTACAGAATAACTGCCAACGAAACGATAGCTTGATTACCGAGAGCTACAATACCTGCAGCAATGACCTATTTTTTTCACTTTCAAACATTTATGCGATAATCTATCTTGTCAAAAAATAATAATTACATCATATTATATAAACGTGATTATCTGTTAGTAGGTATGAAATTTTTAAAATAGTATTAACAATATACCTAAATAATGCTTTTAAATAATCATACTTTTAATTAATTAACACTAATAAATAAATTATAATAAGATAGTATAGGTAGTCACATACCTTGGTAAATGTGTGAATTTCAAGTATAAAATATTAAAATAATAACAATTACTTTAAAGTTGCCATCACAATAAAGGTATAGTTACTCACCTATGTGACTATATTATACTTTTGATAACATATCTATTTATATAGTTTGATAACTATATAAAATAAAAAGGGTAAAGAGGTTATAATTTTGAATTGACAATTTAAATTTCAAACTATATAGTTCATATATTAGTATTTTATCTATCAAATAGAAATATTTTATCATATAGTACCTACCTAGTCATTACTCAGTACAAGTATGATACATTAAATTCACAGAGTATTTATGTTATCTTTACTAATTCACTTAAAAACAAATGCTGTTTTACCGATATATTTTTAGACTTATTAGCTTATTTTAAACAGTTTAGCTTGAAGGCCACCTATTTCAGTTCCAAAAATGTCTATCCCCATCGCTTTATCTTTTAATTAAAATATAGAAGTATCTTACAAAATGACACGGTTAAGAATTTGTTTTGTAACTTATCAATGGTATTCAAAAATTTTACTTTCACTTCTTCCGAATTACATCGTTGAAATGTCTTCATGACTTTTTTACTACAAACGAAATTATATCATTTTTTTATCATTAATATGCTTGTAAAACAATTTTAATCTTACTGAAAATTATTTGATATCCGAGTACATATCTAGTAGTAATTTTTCTTTTCCTTATAATTTTACATCTAATTATAAAAAAATGTGATAATGTCAATTGAAAAAGCAAGGTTGAGTATCCAATTTTTATAAGACAATCGGGGAATATTTTTTTTTCTTTTTAATTAATAAATTTATTATTTACTCCCCGAGAATAAAAAGCGTTTTAAAAATGCACTCCTATTTAACCAACGAACTTCTGTGAAATAAATAACATTATCATAATTAGCTTAAATTTTTTCCAAAAACTGTTGGAATTGTCGATGAGCCAACCCATTTTTTCTTAAATATAATTACGGTTGATACAACCATATCCATGATATTTTTCTAAGCCAAGACTTTGCAACATAGTGCCTCTTGGTGTATGATACACTGAAATAAGCATTTCGAATTTACTATCAATCATTTTAGTCTTGATTCTCCCAAAAAAGCCTTCATTTATGCTACTCATATTTTTTCCTCCGTCAGTAGTAATATTTATCAATGTTTTCAATGAAAGCCCTATTTTTCGAATGAGTTTTCGATGTATTTAAATATATATCTTCATCTGTTGTAGTATGCCTTTTATACTACACATATCGACTAACTCTTCATAAACATCAAACTCCTTATCAATACCACGTATAAAATATAAATATTAAAAATTAAGCTTAGCCCCCCAAATATTAAAAAATATTTTATTTTGGTTTTTCTTAATGCCTCGGTTAATTTTTCAAATTGTACGTTATGCTCATTTTCATAGTGTCACCTGATGTTTCTTTTCTCTCATTACCGTTATTGTTTTATTAGATACAATGTACAAATTAAACATAATGACTTACCACTGTGTTTGATAAAAAATGAAAATTTCGGTCCAATCTTCTTTGAAAATACGATGTTTATCGTTAATTTTTCGTTTTGGAGCCATAGCATTAATAAGTATAAAAATATCACACACACAGAGAATACTGTAGTCATATTTCATTGCGTATGCATACTTCATTTAATTTCAACAACAAAATTATCATAAAAAATATCAGTTTTTTATCAATAAATATAATGTATAGTATACAAGTGTGCAATATTTTAATATTAATTACAAATCGCTATCGCGAGCCGCGGGTTGATAACCCCTGCAGTTTTAGGATACTCGACCTTAAAAATTTATAAAATAATAATTTAAAAAAATTACCGAATTAACGAAAATATTTTCGTGTATCTTTAAAAAAAAGATGAACGTGAATTAATTCGTTTTTTACACATTGAACGTCTAAAAATATTCAATTTTCTAGTGCATTTTCCTAACACTACATCACGGCTAAAAATATTAAAACTAGATGTTGAGTATAGGTATTAAGTTTTTAACATTTCTATTACTTCCACTTCTAATGCAAGAGTATTTGGAAATTAATATTAGTTGAAATTGAGATTTACAACTATCAGTACTGATAGTTCAGCCAAATCTCTGTTTTCTATCTGAAAACGTGTAATAGATTAAAAATTAAAATACTAGTATGTATATCGTATATAGTTTCATAACTTTATGATATAGAATTATAAAACATATCCTTGAATTGAATTTTAACAATCAATTTTTTAATAAAAAAAAAATATATATATATAGTATACTTACGTGACTATATTGACTAAAAATGACTAAAATATTGATTAAATTTAAAAAAATATTGTTATGTATGTTAAAAATAATGTCGTTAAGTAGGTACCGTTCTGCTAAATATTATTGTCAATAAGTACCACCTATACTCAATTTAATGTTTCAATATGTTCAATATGACACTTATATTACTTATAATAATTTAAATATAACCTTTCCAAAATTAGTATATATCTAATTTAGATATACGGTATACCTGCATATTAAATTCTCAAGTTTTAAACTTAATTTTTCACAATTTTACTAAATTAATAGAAAAAATATTTTTTTAATGTGATATAGTTGTTATTCAAATAAAAAAAAATAAATACTAAGTATAATAACATTTTATTTGTGTAAAAATTTCTTAATGTTTTTAGAAGCTTTGGCTTTATAATACTCTGTTTTGATACTTACTATACTACAATTATATATTTTCTACAGAATTTCGTAAATTTGTATGTGAGTAGGTCTATACAAATTGAAGTGGAAGTATTATACTGACGCACTCCCCACCGAAGTTTTGATTACACGAGAAAAAAGATACATACAAATAAAAGTACAGACTACCGTTATTTTGATTTTGGATTATATAAGTACTCTCTATTTAACATGTTATTAAACTCTTTGTCTATAGTGAAAACAGTAATATTTTACTATAACTGCATGTCTGCTATATACATGATTACATGTTAGTAATTAGAGATATGTAAGGAACTAAGGAATATACGTTTCAAGGTATACCAAGTGTTGAAGTGTAGTAACACTAGTAACCAGTCTGTGCTCTCACCACTTGGTCGCTGCACGCTTCTTCTACTACGATGGCACGTAAACGTTACAGTGTCGGTTAAGGTTGAGGTTGATTAAGTTAACACAAAATTTATTTTTACAAAGGAATTACTTATTAAATTTAAGAATTACTGGGATAAAAATCTCTGAAGACCTATAAAACAGAGGTTTCTATTAACATGGAACATGCAGTGATTACAGAAGAGGATGATTAACGTAATTTAACATTTTGTTGTTGTGCTAACTAAACGTTAGCCAATGAGATGGTAGCATCAGTGGATTAATTCAATAATTAGGGTGTGATGTTGTTAAAGTCTTATACTTTAGACCTACGTTCTAAAACGCGGGTTTACCACACAAGAAAACAAAATACGGAAATAATTATATTGGATATAATATTAAACTCATATTAATTAGTTATAAATTACAATTAATTTAAATTTAAAACAATACGTCATTCATATAGTATAGTATTATAGGCATACACAGTATACATAAGGATTTCATCAAACACACTCATCCTCACCTTTTCATTTAATAATAAATTTATTCAAATTGTATTTTAAATCTTCAAATTTTATGTAAAAACGATATTTTATTTAAAGTATATTTAAAAATTACAAAAATCTTATTTTAAATAACTGAATTATTGAAGAAAAACAAGGGAGAATGCTTGGTGGATAACTTTGTATATTATTATATATGCTTTTGTAGTATTGTCGTGGTATATATAATTTAGTTGATTGCATAATTTTATAATTTTGTTTACTTGTCGTAGATATCTACATCACTAATAAATTGGAAACATGTGCATTGACCGGTTCAGTTAATGTTGTCAAGTAAACTAGTTCATAATGTTATGTCTGTTGATATAATAATAATCAATAATAATAACCAATGATAATAATATATAGTTAGGTACGCATTACATAATAGTCATAATATATACGACTATACATACTACTATATTATGTTTAGGTACTACCTATTCTATTACTAATTGTGTATTAAAAATTTAAATTTCGATTAAATTAATATTATAATGACTTAAACATTAGGTATTATTTATTTAACAAATAGTATTTGTATTACAATTACAGTATAATAAAATGTATATATTTATATTAAATACAGAATAGTGCTTATTTAGTACATTTTTTAAGAATTTTTTTTAATATTCTTGAATTTTAATGTTAGAGAGATTGGAGGTTATAGGAACCCTGAAGTTATTATAAAAAATTCTTACTACTTAGTTTATTCACACATTAACAATCACGAGAAATTAATCAATAAGAACAAATATTAATTAATAAATTATAAATTAAATATATGAGGTGTTACTGAGAACCAACTAAAAATTGGCATTCTCATAAGTAGGGCTCGGAAATTGGTACACTTAAAAAGTACTAAACATATATGCAACATGCATTTATGCGCGCGTAATAGTGCAATTAATATGCTTTAAAAATATGTACTTATTATTTTTCCTACTCACAATTTTCATAAGTAAAAATATTTTTATATTTTATAATTTTTTCTAAATATTTAATAAAAAAAAAGAAATTTTATATCAACTAAGGATTTAATAAACACGATACAATAATACTTAGTGAAAACCCTCAAAATTAAATATACATTATAAAGTATTTTTTTTTTTTTTTATTGTCAAATTTTCATATTATATTATAAATATATTATTATAATCATAGTTTATGATTCATAAAATACCTATACTTTGAAAAATGGTAAAATTGAAAAATATGCTCTTAAAATTAAAAAATCACTAAATATGCAAAAGTATACACTATAAACCTATGATACTATTATGTTAATAGAATCATAAAATTAATTTCAAGCTTACTTAGCAACAAATCTAATAACTCAAAAAAAAAAAAAAAACATGCAAATTCAATAATATCCGAACCATACCTACTAATAAGTAATATAGTAGTGGATAACAACATGCATTAAATGGCGTCATAATAGTATAAAAATAATATTGTAAATATTAATATTTTATTATGTATTACTTATTGTATTTAGTACATACCGCAATTTAACCATTGTCTAAAAATTGTAAATATTCCCAGGTATATAATAAATGAATTTTTCTTCAGCTTTTTTTTTTTAAATTATAATAAAATATTAAAATACGTTAATACGTTATTATAATTATTATTTATTATTATTGACTATAATAATTTTAAACATTAAAAAAAAGTTCGTCTTTCAAATTCGTTCGTTATTTTACACGTAAATATCGCACAATTCTCCAAAAAATACACCATTAAATAGGCAACGTACGCAGACTGTTAATACTGTAATAATAAAAAAAATAATAAATTAAATATATTATCAAATAGGCGTAAAACAAAAATTAGACAAGGTTCTATAAAATTCGTGATGTACTTTTTATACCATTTATCTAAACTTATCAAAAAATAAACTTTTTATAACATAATATTATAATTTATAAATATTTATATACATCAAAATGTTTATACAAATATTTTTATTAAAATCTATCAAATTATTCAATTAAAAATATAAATAATTAAAAAACAAGAAGTTAATTAAGTTATAGTGGTTTCACCAATAAAAATAAGGAAAATGTAATCAAATTTTGCAAAATATATATTTCGTGTTTATAGTTTACGTTACATAGGTGCTATTATTGAATTATTTGTATTATATTTATAATAATATATATTATAATCACGATATAAAATATGTATAATATATAATATTATATAATATGTACTTGCAGCCTGCAGGCTGTAGTTCGGACAATAGCTAATAATGTGACGATTGTCGAGCTTGCTGTCTTTGATATTTAATATTTTCACTGATACCTACAATATAATAATAATAATATGTATTATGTATAGCGTTTATTATAAGGTAGAACGTCTTATTACATATTATTATTTTTATTATTGTACGTATCTACTATTAGCACTATTATATTATGTATAACATTATCGCGTCGGTTATAGAAGTTTCTTTCTCTCTTTCTCCACGGGTGGTGACGACAACATGCTGCCAGATACTGAAGTTCGGTATGTAGTATGTACACTCTTCTACACTTGATCGAGACTGTGAAATTATTGCATATTATTTTTATGATTACGCATTACGCGACGATATTCAGTACGCTTATAATAATAATTATTATTATTATTGTATATTACTTATGTACTGGCTCTACTTACCATACCTACAGTATAGGTATAGTTGTTTATAAACACACGCCCCTCGAATACTAAACCACCTTGGCCCACAGACCCAGTAGGTCATACATCGAGCTCTAAACACAATATGCGCAGTGGACCGCAGACTCCATACCTATAATAGTGATTGCCTATGTTATATTGTTGTAGTATACCTATAGTGAAAATTTAATTCATTTAAATTTAAATTTTATAAATAAGAAAAAAAATTGGTAACTCGCCGTTCTGATCTATAGCAAATTTCGAGTAAACCTACTTTATTATTTAGTAGGTCACTATA